TAGCCGGGGGCCTGATCTTCGGGGCAACAATATGATACCTCAGCACCGACAACAGCGCCAGGCTGAAGATCTCCACGCCCACCGTCACTGAGGTCAGGAACCCCAGAAGGACACAGATCTCGTCTCCGAGCTGCCAGTTCTGAAAACTAGCACTCAGCAGCACACAGGGCAGAGTCAACAGAACGCCCAGATCTGCCAGGCTGAGGTTCAGGAGCAGGACGGAGCTGGGCTTAGAGCGGCTGCGACGGTTCCTGATCAGTACCAGCCACAGCAGGAAGTGACCTCCGACCCCCACCAGAAGAGAGAGCAGGCTGACCATGGGCAGAACCACAGTGAAGGAGATGGTGGTGTTGGTGGAGACCACGTTGAAGAGCAGGTTGACTATGGCAGGCATGGTTCACACCAAATCCTCAGACTGGAGATATCACTAGAACAAGACACGAGGAATCAGTGTAGCAAATGTAGCATTTTACCCACAGCTTACCAGGGCTGACAAATGATTAATCTTCTTAATCTGATTAATCACTTAGCAGCAATATATAGAAAAAAAGTGTTTCATATTTGGTCCTTAATTTACATAAGGAAACTCCCGAGGGATTTATAAAGATCTCTCTCTCTCTCTCTCTATATATATATATGTGTATATGATTTATCCAAAAACACTATACTCTGAATCTGATGAACTGAATGCCAAACTTCTTCCATGTTTTTTCCAGGTTGCCGCTCCGTGACTCTCTCACTGTGACGGACGCCTCTGATGATTCAGACTCGCCCCGGTCTAGGTCTTAATCTAACTAAAACGGTGACCATCACATTACACCTCGGCACAAAACAGGACGACTTTCATCTGCGAGAACACGACACAGGCAAACACGTCACGACGGCAGGAAGAGAGCGAGTCTTCTCCCCTGAGGGATAAACACCAGAGCTGCTCACAGGATCAAAGTGTAAAAAACAAAAAAACAAAAAACACAGAAAACTGTGGCCACGGCCAAACAAACAACACACTCAGTCCCCAAAAGTAAACAGGTCGGTAATATCTGTCACGAACGACAGGGAGATATTTGAATTATTGACTTTCATTCTGTTTTCTGCTCTGACATTTTCCAACATTTACCTTCATCCTTCCACCAAAATAAACTGGGAATTACCACCGGATATGAAACAGCGTCACAGATCAATGACAGCCACCGTCTGTGACGCCCCACAGGAACTTCCTCCAGGAAAGTAAAGCGAAGAGACACAGATGTCAACAACACTTGTCAGATGTTCTGGGGGGATTTGACAAATTAGTGAAATAATTAAAATGAACCTTTAGTTCTTCATATTTGCTTCAAATTCTTTTGAAAAGAATAATAATATCAATAATAATAAATGCTGTCTGTCTCACTTCTGTAGCTGAACAGGAAATTTCCCTCACAGACTCCGACATGAAAACTGTTGCTTTGAAAGTTAAATGTTTTGATGGAGAAAATTTAATTCAAAATTTAAAAAGTCATCAATAAAACATCAAGGATGACTTTGATGGTCCTCAAATCTGAAATGTCTGGTCCAAACAGAAACATCGATTAGTCGGAGCCTGGTGGATCTGAACGTTGGAAACTAGGAACAAAAGCTTTGGCCGAAGTTTACTGTGGATTTAATAAACTCAGAGCTCAGGTGTGAACTGAAGCTAGAAGTACAAAGTGAAACCCAAACAAAGAGAATAAACTTTGTTTGCTTGACTTACTGTGAAAGGAACCTGTGCTCTCCACCAGCTGAGGGGCCGCTTCAAGACGAGAAGAGGAGGAGGAGGCACGCCTGCAGTCAACACTTCATTCTCCGTCTCTTTGCACACATAGACAATTCAACACCTACACGTCTACAACAACAACAACAACCACAGCGTACAGCTTTAATCTGCGTTAATTGCCACCAAAGGGAGAACCAAAGAGACACCAAAGGTGAAGAGGATGAAGAGCGAGGAAACGTCACCTCAAAGGCAGGAGCCCAGAAGAAAGCACAGCGTGAAACGTGGAAGAGAGAAACCCACCGCCCAGGATGTTGGAGACAGAGGTGAAGTGAACAGAGCGTTCATGAACCTGAGGAGGAGAGAAAAGGCCCAGCAGCTGCTGCTGCGTTGGTGGGAGACGGTGGAGTGGCCTCACAGCTGCAGGATGGAGACACAGGCATCCAGCAGCTGTGAGGTGTGTGTGGATACTTCACTGAGTGTCAGCTTCATTCTTTTACAGCAGGCTCTGAAGCACAGACAGAGATACGGCAAGGAAACGGGGGTCAATAAACCAAACAGCCAGACTGGATCACTTGAGGCTCAGAGCAGTCGTAAATAAGAGGATTTACTGCTGATGTTTGGTCCAGTGTTCTGACTTCACTGACGTTCAGCCTCAAACTGATGCATTTGTTATTTCTGTCCTGTTCTTTGACTCAGGATTTAGGGATTTTCTCTAATTTAGTGAATGTCTGATCTGTGACTTTGTACCATTTAACAAACCTACGGTACTACCTGCCTACTGACTTAAACTACAAATCCTGCCTTCAGTGATGCCTTTACTCATAAATACATTAGCATACATAATGAAAATGAGCAATATATATATATATATATAAATAAATAAAATGAAAACCAAGAGGAGCTTGTGATGCGTGAGGAGCAGCTATCAGCTGGGATGGCGGAGGAAAAATTAAACTAGTCTTAGTCTGAGTCCTTTGGCACTGGGACTGTAAACACATCATGTCATGTGACCCATCAGGCAAACAGGGAGTAAAAAAAAACAAACATGTCACACGACGATAAACAGAGAGAGTCACCTGAGCCTGATGTCACCTGTATGACTGACAGACAGGTGACATTATATACAGAGACAGAGGGGTAACCATGGTGATTAACCAGCCTGTTTATGAAGAGCGCATCCCTCATCAGCAAATCCTCCTCTAAAACGATCTCATTTGAATAAAACCAGCATCACCACGACCTCATCTTCATCAAGTTAATTCTGTCCTCATTACTGCACAGTGACTGACTGCTGCTGCTGCTGCTGTTGCTGCTGCTGCTGGTGCTACTGCTGCTGCTGCTGTTACTGCTGCTGCTACTGCTGCTGCTGCTACTGCTGCTGCTGTTACTGCTGCTGCTGTTACTGCTGCTGCTGCTGTTGCTGCTGCTGCATAATGACATACTGACATCAGGACATGACAGTGACGTGTCAGTGTGATGGAGCCCAGAGCTGGATTTTTCCAAAAGTACTGTATAACTGTCTGCTGCCACCTCCTGGCAAAAGAAAAGAACACTCGTTTAAAGCAGGTGCAACAGTAGTGATCTAAAAACACAAAGAGTTGTTATACAAGTGTATGAAATAATATTTTAAAATATATGTGTCTGTTTACACTCACACAATCAAGTCAACGGTGCAAATTTTTAGTAGTATAGTCTGTTTACGCTCATACAATCAAGTCAACGGTGCAAATTTTTATTGATTGTGATTCATAGAAGCATTTGTTTAGAAAATATACTCATTTTAAGGGCTGTGAAATCAGACGAGATCCACTGACGTAAATACTGTGAGGTGATAGGACGGCGCGGAAACGGATTTTCTCAGTCGTTAAATTAGCATACAGTTAAAAAGAGTAGATACAAACACATTTCTGATAAAAATTAAAAATGACCACAATGGAAACTTTATTGTTAGCTGGCAGAGTCACGATGACGGCTAGTGCAGTTTGATTATCGATGTATTTACAGCGTAAATAATGTTCAATCTCACTCTCAGCAGTCGCAGATTGTCAATAAAAGACAAGAGGGAGGTTGAAAAAAATATATATACCAAAAGCAACTGTTCATGAGAAGATACTGAAATCACTTCATAAGCTGCAGGTCAGAGCGCCATCTATACCTGAGAAAATAAAAACAATGACACAATTGGGTTAAAAAAGAAAGCACAAAGTCCATGCATTTTCCAAAAAAATGAGGAAATAAAATGACACAATTGGGTTAAAAAAAAAAGCACAAAGTTCATGCATTTTCAAAAAAAATGAGGAAATAAAAACAAGTGGAATAGTCCGGTGAAAACGTTGATTTAAAAGCTCGTCTCCCTCCAGTCCTCCAGGTTCAAGCCTCCTCTGAAACTCCTCATCTGCTCGTGATGTCATAAAACGTCTCTGTTACCAAGCTGAGGGCTGTCAAAACCTGGAACAAAGGAAAGAATTACAATAACAATGGAGGAATTTAAACCTGAACCGATGAGAATATTTAACTACAGGAATGTTCAGAAACTAAAAAGTGTGCCAAAGAGTCAGGCAAACAAAAAGATAAATGTTCTAAAATATTATCAAGCTACACAAATATTTCCTAACTACAACTGCTGATGCCAACATGCCACATATACTGGCCAAGAACACAGAAAAGTCGACACAGTCGGTAATTCTGTCTAACTACTACTAAAACAAATGAAATGATGAATAAATGACTGTGTAAACTGTTCCTGTTCTGTACAGATGGTATTGCATGTACTGGGGGTGCGGGGGAGGCAGTCGGGGGGGGCAGATACATACACCTGGTACCAGCAGGAAAGTCCAGAGATCTGTTTCTGTACTGAGGAAAACAGGGCTTTGTCAGAGGGACTCTGAGATCTGAGGACCTCTCCAGATCGTAGGAGCTGTCCCCCTCCATGCCTGAGGGAGAAATTGGAAAATTCCAGGAGTAACACACAGACAGAGACACATTCACTGGAATTTAACAAAGGGATGAAAGCTACGGTTTTCAAGGCATGCAGAGTCATCAAATCAAAGACTCGTGCTGCTTTCATTTGATTTAAACAGTCGGCAAAGAAGAGCAGACAGTTTCAGAGGACACAGTATGTCCTCACACACTGGACAGTGTTGCCAGGTATCAAATACTGAAGTACTGTAACCTTCACATGCAAGTAAACATGTCGTCTCTGGCGCCCTCCAGTGGACACAGAATCCATTCCTTCACATGCAAGTAAACAGGTCTCTGGCGCCCTCCAGTGGACACAGAGAGTTACGCCATAAAAAGTGAGCCAAGTAAAATATACAAATAGGATTATTAAAGGATATCTGGCAACACTAGCAGTGAATCGACAACAGAGTGGTGTCTGTCATTAACACTGTCTGTTATTCTGTACCTATGTCCAGTGAGTAGGACTTCCTGGTGGGATGAGATGCTCCTGGAAATCCATTACGACCTCCTTCCTCTTCTTGATCGGCCGAGCAATGAAGAGAATGAATAAAATCACTATTAACATCTGTTTTTAACTCTTTGTTATTGTAAATAAAAAAATTAAAAATCTAAAATTTAAACAGAAATTTATAAAAACCAACAGCAAGGTTAAACATAGGGCAACTCTACCAGCATTAAAAATCAAGGAAGGTTAAACATAGGGCAACTCTACCAGGTAGTGTTCCCTCTGCCTCAGGGCCTTCAGGTGTCACTGATTCTTCCTCTTCAGTGATTCTCTCCTCTTCAGTGATTGGCTGACCAGGAGGCAAACACCTCAGGTCATCCGTGAGATCATCCCGAGGGCAGACGGGTAGTGTTTGGTGAAACGTCTCAGAATGTTCCAGAGACGTCCTGTCTCTTGTATTGAGTTCGAGACCAGGCTGAAACCAGGGGCAAACACACAGTCGGAGTTTTGGCTCTGATGTATCAGGATGTGCAGCGTTTGTCTTTGTCGTATGAATAAAAGATGCATACCTGACCGGGAAAAAGACAAAGGTTCTGTCCCTCAGCTCCTCTCGCTCTCTGAGTTTCTTCTTCCTCTATTTTCTTGAGTTCACTCTGATCCTCTTCGTCCTCAGCTCTTCCTGTCACTTCTAACGAGAAAGAAAAACAGCCTTTAGAACCAACGTTAGTTTATAAAAAATTTAACAAAGACATTTTTTTACATCCAGGAACCTGCGGCTGATGCTAAAGACTTTGTTCCTGGCCCCATTAAAATGTTAAGTTCTGACTCCTTGCATTGATTTTGTGAACGACTGAGATTAACACAAGGCTAATCTCTTAATACCCTTTGATCCAGACAGAACTCAGTTAGTTCAATTAAAATGGTTAGCATGTGCCACAGTTGACATCAGTGCTAAAAAGTACTCCCTCACCTTCACCAACATAAAGGAAAGGAAACTTTTGACTTTGTAATTTTGAAACAACTTTGTTAGCTTAGCAAAAAGGCTAACACCGGACTAACGTTCTGTCCTCTCCCATTATTATCATTCCAGAGGCACAGTCACTGTGCTGTTTTAATTAACAGTAAATTCACTCTTACTTTAAAGATATTTTCCCCCACACAAACTGTCAAAAAATGATAAAACCTAAGTCTGAGTTGCTAAATTATACAGAAACCTTCACCTACAGTACTGTTATATTATAATAATATTATGTTATAAGTCACGTCACTTCCATTAGAGACCACAGCTCATTACATCTCATCCATTCAAAAGTTACTGTTGTGTTGAAACATATTCTAAATGTGACGAGTTCATTTCAACTACTACTATTTCCACAGGCCAGAAATGGATGAAATGGAGATTTGATGCAGTATGGATGAAAAACAAAACAATCTGAGACCTCATCATCAAGTCTCTGAGTCAGTTAAAAAAAAAAAGGGAGTGAATTCGGCCGAATGTGAAAGCTGTGGAGTTTGATCTTTATTCTGGCAGACTGATGATGGTCTTGTTTACAGAGTGGAGCTTCAACAGTGTGAGTCTCAGAGCTGTGTTTCATAGAGTTTCTGGATTTGTTCATTGATTTCACAGCTTCCCTGGGTCTCCACACAGTCTCTGGTTTTTAATAACAACAAATAAGTAGAACTTGTATCTAGAGTTCTGGAGTGCAGAGTTTCTTCATACATTATGAATGGTGAGGACAGTGCTATTAAACATTGGCCAGACAAAGTAAAGAGTTCTGAACCTAAAGCCCAAGAAAAAAACAACAACAATGTAATACTGTAGGTTAGGTCTGATGAACTGCAGCAGATATTTATATTCACAGGTTTGAAAAACTTTCCCATCAGAATGACTGTAAATTTAATAATTTTAACTACTATACTACTACTACTACTATAACTATTTTTCATTAATAATTTTAAACTTTTTTCTCTTTTATAATAAGGTCGTCCTGTGCATACAATACAGCATCAATAAACTGAGTAAATGACCCTGTGTTTGTATTCCACTGTTGTACTTGTATATAAACTGCAGAAGCAGCAGAGAGCTCCTGTCATTTCACAGGATTAACAGCAATCCGAGGGGAACTGTAATGCAGTTTCTATCCTGCCCAGCCAGCACAAATACATAGAAAAATCCCCTTATGCCACAGCATTATAAGAGAATAATAATAATAAAAATTATAAACAGTGAACTCGACAAAACACACATTCAATACGACTGTCATCCAACCTTGTAGTACCTGAACTCTCCTGCAGGTGTCTCTGCCTCATGACAGCCAGACCGGGCTTGTTGCTGTGTGGAGGCGGCTCTGGCCTCAGCCCACAGTGAGCTGCAGTGTCACCGCCGCTCTGCCTCTCCTCCTCCAGGTCACTCCGTGAGTCAGTCAGAGGGATGATCATCTCCTGCCTGCTCGGCTCCATCTGCCTCTCCGTCTGCTGTTTGGAGGACGCAACGTGGCCGTTAATCCGAGAATCAACAGGGGCGTCTGAGATGGTGGTGGATCTGTCGAAGTCCTGGTCTGAGAGTTTGATGTCACAGGTGCTGCTGCTGCCGTCAGAGTCGAATTCTGCCCCGATGCAGCTGTACACCATACTGACCAGGTCTGTGGACTACACAGAGAAACAGAGAACATCACATCAGCTGTCTGTCAAAAAACAAATGGTGCTGAACATGAGGTGACTTGAAGACTTGAAGCCAATAAACTGTCTCTCTCTGGGAGCCCGTACCTGTCTTTGGCTGAGGCAGGGGGGGCTGGCGGCTCTCAGTCCGTGCCCAGGTGGCCCCTGCAGAAGTCGAGGCGAGGTCATGTTCCCGTTGGCTCTGGAAACAGCGCCCTCTGGCCTCACAACGTCCCTGGGGTGTTGAATCATTGAGTAGACGTTCTCTGAGGCGCTGCTGGAACAATCAGACCAAGAAACAAACATTTTTTTTATTGTCTGAGTTCAGTCTTGACCTTGGAGGAGGAGGAAATATTAGAAAGCTGCGTACAACCAGACAAAGATTTGAAAAAAAAAGATTCAGAAGAGGTTTATCTGTTGTGAATGTAGGAAAGGAAATTGTTGTACATTACATATAAGTATTTTTTCTTGGTGTTCTGGATTACTTTGAGCTAACTTGTCACCTTTTCTTTGCACCTTGTCTTCAGCAGTTACTTTTTTATGTAGAGATACATTTTGTATATTTTATTTCTGGGTTGATATTTTTGACAAATATGAGGGAGTTTTTGTATTTAGTTTTCATAACAGACAAATCATTTTCTGCGAAAAAAAAACTTATATTAAACAGGTTTCCAATAAAAACACTTCTCTTTTGTCAACATCTCTGATTAACTGCAGCAACCAGACTGGGTTCTGTCCGGTCACGTATTTTGTTTCCACACTGTGTTGCATTTACAAGAACTGCAGTAACAAAGAGGTGATTATTCACCAACACTCTGTAACCGTGAAAGATACTGCAGTATTTATTAAAGTACTGTTTATACCTCCGTGTCTCTGATGAGTCATCTGCTCTTTCATAACCTGTAGACTTTTGTTTTCACTCAGCTGCAGTTGAAGTGTGTGGTTCTCTGCTCTGCACAGCATCTACATCCTTCGTTCTTTGGGCTCATATCACTGATCACTACTGGGTTCAGCTTCAGCCACTAGTTCTTTGGGCTCATATCACTGATCACTAGGAGTGTGTAGTGGCAAGAATCTGATCACACGATATATGTCATAATTCAGGGGCGATGATACGATATATTGCAATATTCTGCAATACTTTAGGTACGACAATATATTTTGTAACACAATGCTGTTCCATCTAAACATCAGGTTAATAACATTAGAACAGAGGAATTGACCATTGTAATCTTGTTTTGGCCTCTAGGCGTCACCGTTTCCTGCATTTTAATGGTCCGACAAAAAGCAGCCAAAATGTATGCAGATAAATAACAAAAAAACAAAGTGTAACATGGGGAAATATTTTCGTCTCTTAAAATATTTATCACGCAGTAGAACAAACACTGTATTTATTTAGGAGCAGTCTCTGTTCCTACACTTGTGTGTTCTTACTCTGAGTCCTGGTTGGAGATCGTGGAGTTGCGGTTCTTGCGGAAGCCGGAGAAGATGGACAGGACACTGCGTCTCTTCTTCCTCCGCAGAGACTGACCTTGATGGAGTGATGACAACTGACTGGACAGGAGAGTGAGAGCAGATGAAAGGGTTAATGGTTGTCTGCCTGTGTGTGTGGCGCTGGTAATGCAAGCTGTTGATAGTCCATGAGCACTGACTGGTACAGTAAGAGGAGTGTGATGTTAACACATTAGTGAGATTCTTTTTATCCCCCATTTTTAAGCTACTAGGCAACAGAAGAAATTGATTACTTTTCAAAACAGAGCAATGTTTTTCCAAGGCCAGCGAATCAACAAGAAAAAAAAAAACAAAAAACTTTTCTCCAACCTGCTGTTCTAGTTTTAATATTAGCCTGTATTAAAGACAAAAAAAGGGAAAAAATCTGTTTCTTAATGGGCTAAAAAAATAATATTACAAGCTCAAGGCACCATGAAAAAGTAAATATTAACTGAACAAAAACAGTGTTTTGTCATTATTTGTCCCTTTTTTTTCCTGTATCTGTCAACATGTTGTTACAAGTGCAGTGCAACATTACCGAGCGCCCTCAGTGTTTTGGTGTCAGCCGGTTTAAAAATGATATATTCCTGTTTGTTCTGCCTTGGTTCTCAAACTCATTGAAATGATTGTGTTTATTTGTGGTTCCTCCAATCATAACCAGTGAAGTAGTGACTGATTTATGATGAAAATCCCGGCTCAAAGTCTGACAGACAGTTTTATGAGGAGGTTTTTCTCCCCACCGTTGCCAAAAAGCTGCTCAGTCAGGGATTTAATTTGGTTTTCAATCATTTTTGTAAAACTTTACTTGTTGATATAAACTCAGCCTAATTGACTGTATATATATTGCTCCATTTCTCTGCTGTTATTTGGATTGTTTTTTTCTAAGAGGATGATTTTAATTCTAATTCTAATTTTAAAACTCTACAAAGTCCATTTAGACAAACGGGTTTTGTTAATTTGGACTTGACTATCAACAATATTTTTTCATGCATCATCGTCTGGTGGCCTTCAGGACGAACCTGTCATGAAACCGTATCTCTGTGGTTTGATAGAAGAAACTGAAACCCATGCTTTTGTTCTTTTTTTGTAATTATTCACAGAAATCCAACACCGTGGCACAGTTTTATAAGAAATATTTTTGCAAACAGGAGCCTGCTTTGTGACAGCGCACCAAATGAACGACTTGTACACGGTGATATGTTCTCGTTATTGAACGAGCAGAGCTACAAATGAGAAGCTCCACTCAGAGAAAATGGAACCCCCCCCAATATGTTTGTCCCCCGTGTGCTTCAGGAACCCGCTGATCATTCATTACTGATGACACCAGAGCAGAAAATCTTTACAGACAAGGGCGCCGTGCACGGTGGCTCCTCCGTAATATTAATTTTAGGAAACACACCGAGGGAATGCTGGCTCTTATTTAGGTGCTGCTAAATAAATAAAGCTGAGTGGTCAGAGAATATTCTAGATCCTCTCTGAACATATAGGTTTTGAGCACCTTTAACTAAAAAATCATAATATAATTGACATCAGCTCTGTGAAAATTTCATCATCATTCATCAAAGTTTTTTCTTTTTTTTCCAACCACAGAAACTACACTGCAGCATATAATTACACTGAGCCCATAATTAAGACTCTGTCTCATGATTACAATTTAGAAACTTGTTATTATGAAAAAGTTACATGTTCATTAGGAGAAGAGAATCTCAAATTATAAGGGGAAATTCACCAGTTAGACAGGACTCTGACAGTCCTGTCATGTCACTGTTTATTATTAAAAGTTCCAGAGCAGAGACTCCACTCTGGCTCTACATCAATGCATCAAACTGATGCTTCAAAATGTATGTGAGGTACAACAGCAACAGTTTTGCCTCGTACTGATTGGACGGGTTGTTAAGAAGTCAGGATCAGCCCACAGGAAGAGGCTTTCACATTTGGTCCAAGGTGCAGAATCAGATTCAGATTAAAGTTATATCATTATACCAGCAAATCTATTTATGAGCCTGGACTTTTGCTATATGTTTTTTAACTGAAAGCTACACTACATGCTCTGGGTTGTACTCTGTTGTTACCTGTCTGGTAGAACCCTCTTACTGTAGAAATCAGGCAGTCCGTCTTCTAACATGTTGACTCCTCCGTTTTCAGAGCAATGCTTCAGAAAGAGGAAGAAAAACACAATCAGTTTCCCCTTTACAACAAGGTATCATCACATCACATGCTGGACTGGTCAACCTGAGTCTCTGCCACCACCAGTCACCAGTCACCAGTTTGGTCGGACTTCACCAACAAAGATCTTTATGCTAGAATTTATTCACAGACATCTAGTTCTAGAAGACCAGAAAACCAAGTTTTACCACCAGATGTCACTCTTCTACCCGTTCCAATGAATAAAAAATATATTTTTTCTGAACAGTGTTAGTGCCAGGTCTTCAGTCTACTTCTGCTGGAGCTCCACCCAGATCGTCCTCCATCCACTCACCGATTCAGCAGAAAGGTGGCCCGCTCTGTGCCTCCGCGGTGGGCGTGGCCTGACGTGAGTCACGTGACGTAAGGGTGAGCCGTTGGTGGGGAGAGTGGACAGACACTCCCATGATGCCGAGTGGCTAAGGGCAGCAGTGTGCAGTGGAGCAGAAGGAACAGGAGAGGAAGTGGGTTCTTCACTCAAACCTACTGAGAGAGAGAGAGAGAGAGTCAACAGTCAATCAGCTTTAACGGTAAATCATTTTAGAGGAGTCTAAACTCTGGACCAGAATGCTTTGCTGCACAGGTATGACACTCACCGTGTCTGGTGGAGACGGGTCTGATTCTTCTAGTTCTGGAGCTTCTCTTCTTTATGGCCATGGTATCCTGTTATTATATTAGGTTTATATTAGGATGTTCCAATGGGTTAAACATAGACAAGAGACAAAAATATTTTTTTTCAAAAACAGTTGTGTTCTCAAAGAGACAAAAATACTTTTTTTCAAAAACAGTTGTGTTCTCAAAGACCCCAGGATGGGACACTCACTATTCCCAGGCTGAGCCCCAGGTCCTCTTCAGGGAAGTCCAGAGACTCCATCAGTCTGGACTGTCTGATTGTGTGTCTTCCTGTCCCCAAGTCGTCCCAGCGTTTGGCCTGAGACACATGTCGCAGCTGAATCACAACAGAAACAAACACACGTGGTTACTGTACACACACAGGCTGAGGACGTGGAGACAGGGGGCAGGGAGTTTGTACTCTGGTTACTAGAGTACTACTAGTAAAAGTTACACTGAGACTGGGAGACAAAAATATTCTTTTTGGTGCGTTCACTTCAATCTCTTCAGTCGGCCTGGAGAAATGGTGACGAACATGAAAGCGAGGCAGAGCACAGCTGTGAGCAGAGACATGAGATCAATGGTCTGTTGATGTTGTGAGGGAATAAAACAACAACATTTAATAAATATATTACCCTTTTTTGGCTTTGAGTCAGATACTGACAGGAGAATTCTGTCAGCAAACTTCAAACTGCTGAAAGTGAGTTCTAATTTTGTTCTGATTACAATTTAAATCAAGTTTTTAAACTTGAAATGCTACGTTTTTATCCCATTTCCTAAAAATGTTTTTGGGAGTGTGGAAGTCTTTCTTCAAATACTGTTTGCAGTATCTGTGTTTTTTATGTTAAAAACTGCAAAATATAAAACACAAAGCATTTAGTTCAAGTGTAGGCGTGAACTGCGGGTCATCACGTCCTCACTGTTCTGCTGTGATTCTAGGTCATGTGACCAGACCACGTCATCAGACCGGCCTCCGGCTCTGAAGAGGTTTATAAAGCTGGTACATTTTTAATGAATAATATTTTGGACATAAAGCTAAATGTTGTGGCTTTAGTGATTTTCTTGCCTCCAAATAGTTTAGCAGAGAAAAAAAAAATCAATATCACTTTAGGCCGTTGTCTATAAATATACAGCTGGAGCCAACAAACACCAACGGGACTTCACGTCGGAGCAGGGACATAAAAATGTTGAAGAACTGAAAATAAATGAATGTTTCTAAGAGTCGTGAACTCAAGTTGAAATAGAAAAGTTTCTGCTGCTGATCCTGGGACACTGACCCTGACCCTGAACACAGACGCTGTTGACTGAGGAACAGGTTTGAGTTTTAAGATTTTTATTCTATCATTATTTACCTGACTGGCATCAACAAAAGAATGAATCATGAAAGTTTTTCAGTTTCATTTCAGAGCTGATTCTCAGATGTTTCTGTTTTTGTTTTTTGAGTGTACTTTCTCAACAAATTTAATCTTTTTCTTTGCAAATGAGAATTGAAGTACTTTTGAAACCAAATAAAAACTAATATAACCAGATATTTTGGTTGTTATATATATATATATAAACAAAGGATGTTAGAAGAGGTTTATGGATGTCATTAAAGAGGAGATGTTTGGTGAGAAAGTGGGGGAGATGATTTTCCATAGCGCCCCCTGCAGGTACAGTAGCAGCCTTACACCAAACCTTAGAGTAAGAAAACATTATGTTAGAAACAGTTGGACCCCCCGCCCCCCACGTTTGAGTTAAATACAAACGGTAGAATTTTGAAAGGAATGCGTGGGACTTTTTTTCTTGGACACAGGCTCCCCGTGGCCTCGTTATCACGTCAGGTTGCCAGGCAACCGAACGAGAGTCACAGGAGAATCAGAAGGAAAAAAAGTGTGATGTTGTGTGTAATTATGGTCTACCTTCACGTCCTGTGTTCACACTGAGAGACGTGTGTGTTTGGTTTACACTTGGTAAAAAACTTGTCTGGTATTTGGTCTAACTCTGATGCATGCGTCGAACTATTAGCTCTGTGAAGATGACAACTGGTTAATAACCATATCATCAAAGATCAGAGGGAGAAGATCCTTTGATTTGGGTCAGATTTGATACCCCATAAACAACCTGGGGGCAACTGTCCTCTCTATGATACTAACTCTATAAATACATGTAGGTGAAACACAAACACTCTGCATATTAGGTCGAACATTCACTGCATGAAAACTGCTTTTGTTGAATGGATAATGGGATTAAATTAGAGATTGCTATTTGCTTTAATAGCAGTACAAACTGCAGTTTTTGCTCTGGTTATTTACAGGTACTTTAGTTTGAAGCAGGCAACAGACATACTGCAGCAAGCAGCTGAGATTATCCTTGAAAACTACCTGCAGAAAAACCAGAAGAATGAAGCCTTAAAGATGCCAAAATGTAGACAAGATGTAGCTAAAAGTTAAGCTAAACCTGTGCTGAAAGGTGAGATTACCACTTTGACTAGAACAAATATATTTGTTTTATAATATATAAACAAAGACAGTTTGCAGTAAAGGGGGAGTACCAGGGTTTTATGACTGGTGTAGAGCTCCTGCAGGATCTGGTCCACGATGGAGTTGGTCAAGTAGGAGACCACGGACAACTTCACCTCCCTGAGACAGACACAGTCACACAGGGACAGTCAGGACCGGGACTTTTAAACTCCACTCTGCTGCGTTCTCCACTTACTCCAGCGCTCCGTTGACGTCGGCCGCCGCTCTATCCATCAGGGCGTTGCGGATGGCGGAGCGAGGGATGGAGACTTGTTCGGAAATGGACGACAGAGGAGGGTAGAGTCTCTCTGCGGCCGAGCAGGACATGGGACACAACTCGCGGCACAGAGAGACCATGGAGTCGACAACCACCTGGAGACAACGGCCGCAGGAAGTAGATTTATTTTAAAACAGAAATGTCAATATCGGCCTCTGCTCGCTCAACGTTTCCCTTTAACATTTATCTTTTATTCAAACCATCTGCAGTGCAGCCGCCCCGACACACATCTTCAAACATCAACTGTTTTCCCTCCTCTTCAGATAACCGTGCCTAAACGAGGAGGTGAACCAAATCCCAGCCCCGTCTTTTCCCCCTCATTTTAATTGATTTTGACCTTTGTAAATGAGAAAAGCCGCCGTGTGCCGGGGTAATAAAATGTGGAGGCACAAACAAGGATGTAAATCCTCTTTTAGTAATTTGATACAAAGTATTCTATTCCACCCGATTCATTACTGCTGCTGCTGAATCCCAAATGAACCAGAACGTTTCTACCCCTGGATTAAACTGTTCCATTTGGTCTGAAAGTTCTGAGTCATTTTGACACAACTTCTGCAACAGAACACACACACCTGTAGTTCTTTGTCGGCAGCTTTGGTCAATTCTGCAGCCAGATGGTCCAGACGCTGTTTGACCGGTCCGTCGACGGACAGGACATGAGCCAACTCACACAGAGACGGGTAGAGCTGACCAAGATCAGACATGAGAATATAAGACGGGTATAGAACACACACAGAACAGACAGAATGAAAGGCATCAGTCATCACTGTGTCAAAAGTAGAAAATAAGGATAATTAAAAGACAAAAAAATCGTAGAAAATAAAGATAATTAAAAGACAAAAAAACAGAAAAAAAGGCCACAAATGAAACTCTTCTGTTTCATGATGAATTCACAGGTCACACTGGACATGTCCGAGTGCAGTGATTGGCTCTCAGGCCAGACCTTGAACGTTGCTGGGTTTACAACGCATTATCCTGATTGCTAATATCACTTCATCTTCATTTCGATAATGGATTTTATGAAGTTGTAAAAATGAATTTAACTCAAAGGACAATGGAGACGGAGGGACCGGAGACACAGTGATTTAGAGTGACACCTCTCCGTGGAGACTCTGACGACCAATCACAGTCCAGTAAATACGATCTGAATCTGAATCTGAATTTAATCAGGCTGTACAGCTAATACATAATATGCTAATATGAGGCTGATAATATCGGTCGGCTGATATTATCGGTCATCCCTAATTAAAGGTACAATCACACTCACTGCTCTGGAGTTCCTGGCTTCCTTCAGGACCTGTTTTGCCGTCTGGACCTCCTCTCCTTCCTCACAGCCCTTCAGCACACACACCTGCTGCTGCACCCGCACACACAGACGCTCCATCACCTGCACAAGCCATGCAGGAAAAAAAAGAAAAAGAAAAGTTAAGTATCACTAATTGAGACCTTGGTTGAGGAACATGGTTGTCGTGAGAAGGAAATCCAGACGTGTACCTGCTCAGCTGTGCTGGTGACTAGACCTTGGTGCAGACGTAGAGCCTGTTTCTGAGAAAACCGCTGAGTCTGGTTGTTTCTGAGCAGGGCACGCTGGATCTGTCACACACACACACACACACACGTATATATTGAGATGAGAGCACAGGTGTTTATAGAGTGTGGAGGAGACAGGTCCATTTGCATGTTAATAAGGGAACCATCAGGAGGATTCTGATCCTCAGAAATGAACCGGAAGATTTCTCTTTTCTCCCTGTGACTCAGCAGGTGCCAGTTGAAAAGCTTGATCATTTTATGCAAATTCACTGTTTCTCTGAGACTGTAAACCCTGAAAAAAAATATTGAGAACCCAAACACTGACCAGGATGGTAAGATATTTTTTTCAGTATCCAGTCCAGGACATCTTTTTTAGAAAAAAAAATCTTCTTTCTACTATTTCTACTAAACATTAGACGTTTTTATTTTTGTCTAACACTTACCTTGGCCTACCTCACACTGACATATATACGATGCAGTCATATCTAGGTCTATAGATATCTAGACTACAGGATTATGGTGGTTTACAGGAGCTCTTCGTGAATGCATGATTGAGTGGCAGCTGAAACTAAAGATGAACTGATAAGAGTCTGTAAACAGCAGCCTGAAATCCCAGTGACAGACAGGAAGTAAGAAGAAAAGTAACCACAGCCAGTTAAAAAAAAAGAAGACATTTTTTCTGTTTACAGGTGAGATTTAAAGCTTGAGTGAATTATCCGTCAGTTTTTTTTTGTTTACTGATTTTTACAACAGAATATTTTCCTCCTGCACAAACAAACCAATCTGTAAGACAAGAGGTGAGGAGCGACGCAGCGGCAGCAGGACGGAAACACTGATGTTTGTTTTTTGGCTCACGCTCTGTTGATTTGCATAAACACGATAATGCGCGCAGAGGACACTGTGGGGGCGCTGTTGTAACTGTAGAAACGTGCTAAAAATGAGCCGTGTGTGAAGTGAGTTAGTTAGTCAAAGGATAAAAAGATATGAATGACCTCAACAGTAACAGTAGGTTAAAAAAGAAATAGGAAATTTTAATAATTTTAATGTCCATATTGTTATAGATGTATATTTATTGTTTAATTAAAATAGAGAAATGCATGATAAAAAAAAACTAAAGATAAATAAAAATATGAGGAGCTGGAAGTCTGGTGACGTGAACATGAACGCATTTTTGTCCCTTAGTGAAATAAAAATATGTTTTCTTCTGATTTCCAAAGCTGACTTTCATCAGCAACGCCTGTCTGAGTTAAAATAAATAAAAATGCTGAACTCCCTGCAGCCTGTGCTTTTATTTGTAGATCTGGAGAACAGAAATCTCCCATGAATAAAAAACTCTGTAAATGGGACACACAGCAGTTTCCACGGCCTAGAAATACATGCAAAGGACTTAAATATTAATCATGATGCATGAGAAGTCATTCATCGCCGTGATGACTCCTGCTGACCCCAGCTGTCACCCCGCGGCCCCAAGTCTCCACCTGCGCCCCCAGGAGGCCGCTCACTGTATTTCCTTTAAGTCAATTGCAGTAGCAGCAGAACCTAAACCACCGGACCACAGATCCTCTCACCTTGGTCAGAGCCTGATCCATCTTCTCCGGGGCGCCGCGGTACGCCTGGGCCACGTCGCTGAGGGGGAGGGGCATGTACTGCAGGGTGAAGTTGCTGGAAAATGAGAAGAAAGGTAAAACATCGGAGGTGTTTAAAAAGGACGAGTTCAACCATGTTAACTGGTGTGTTAGAACACAAACTTTACAGCGTGT